TCCTATAGAATGCAACGTTCTAATATGATTAAGTCATCACTTAAGTTTTTCAGGGAAGACAGTGACCACATATTAGTCAAACTCTTTTCTACTTATAATATTCGTTACTAAAAGTTTTTAGATTTATGCATGTGTATTTAGCTTTTACCTGGTGTCTATGTGTACACATGCAAGTCTGGTGTCTATCGAGGTCAGAGGAGGGTGTCAGATCCCCAGGATTGGTAGTGACGAGTGATTGTGAGCCACTATGTGTTTACGGGGAACTGAGTCTGGGCTATCTGCAAGAGCAACAAATGTTCTCACCCGGTGAGCCACCTATTATTTTAAAGTAGCCAGATTAAAATACCTAATAGTGTCCAAATGAATTTTAGTTGTATTCTTGATAAATGTTGTTACCTTTATAATACAAACATAACAAAGTTTTAAAAAGGAGAGAATTAACTCTAAAAACATTTTTAGACTCAAAGTTCTGTATACATTCCTTCTCCAGACACTTTAGAAAAGTGATCACTGTTTCTCCCTTTCTTCAGTGTACTGCTATTTGAGTTCACAGAAAGTCAACATGTAGATGAGTGAGGGTCAGATTACACTACAGTCTGAGGCTGCTCTGTTTTGGCATTAGGCTAGTACCATATTAAAAGGCATCCTTAGCAGGAATACTTAGCAGAGTCAGATAAGAGCAGGAGATAGAATTGAATTAGTTCAATCCTATAATACATTTTAAATCTTACAAAATACAATTGGCGTCTAAAGTAGACTCATTATTTCTCAGAATTTATTTTGTAATTGTTTTTTGTTTTTGTTTTTTTAACACAGGATCTCATGCAAGTCAGGCTGGCCTTGAACTTAATACATAGCCAAAGAAAATCAGGAACTCCTGATCTCCTACCTCTCTCTATTTCCCAAGTGCTGGGATTACATGTGTGTGCCTCTATGACCCATTTATTTTTCTTTCTTTCTTTTTTTTTTTTTTTTATTTCTGAGACAGGGTTTTCTGTGGCTTTGGAGCCTATCCTGGCACTCGCTCTGTAGACCAGGCTGGCCTCGAACTCACAGAGATCCACCTGTCTCTGCCTCCCAGTGCTGGGATTAAAAGCATGCGCCACCAACGCCCGGCTTCCATGTCCAATTTCTATAACTCTTAAACAAATAACACAAACCTAGTCTTGCATTTCAGGGTGTTTTAAATCCCATCATTCTGGCACACCCAACTACCAGTTCTACCAGTCAACACACTGCAACAGAGTTGAAAGGAAAGGTTGTATTAACACTAAGTTTCTCCTACTGTCCATTATATTTACAAAAATCTATCACTGTTCATATAATACTGACATCACTTCTAAATATACTACAAAAACATATTATAGCGATTTAAAATTTCCCTAGACAAAAACATGTCCTACAACTGGGTGGAGAAAATCCAACCATTTTCTTAAAAAGTAGAACCCATAAAGACATCTATATTGTGTTCTAAGGCTGATTTTTTTTAAAGAAGATTTTAGCAGTTTCATTTGAAAGAGCATGCAAAGCTTAAGAGTCTTTATTTTGTTTTATTTTCATGGGTCCACAATAGTGAAGCTACAGACAAGTCAAATAATTTTGAAGAAATGTGTAGTTGGAAAAAACAGTACACTGTCTTTTTTTTTTTCTTTTTAATAGTTATCTAGAAGTATATAGAGACTCAATTAAATCAAAAGATCTTGGAGCTCAATGCTCTGGAATTTAAATCTTTTCTCCCAAATTCATAGGCAATGGCTAACATCACCCGATAGAATCCAGGCCAGAAAATAGTTATCAAACATACAGATATTTCCTGATCAAAATTGCTTGAAAGTATCTCATTAGTTTCAATACGGAGAATTTATCAGAGAAATTAATCTCAGATCAAGTTTTATGGCCAATTTATGATTTTGAAACTTTGTGGATTTTGAATAAAAGACCATGGATTCCAACTGATACATATAAATTGGGAAATAACTTTACTCTCAACTTAAATAGTAGGTAGTCTCCTAAGAAATTTGTTTATCTAGAGCTTAGAGCAATGTAGATTTAGTTACTACATTTCTGTATGCTGTATGTCTTCTAGTAATCCCTAACTCTTAGAGATCAGAACTTACCCCAGTTATTTTTAATCCCACTATTTAATAGCTATTTATAACAATGTCATCTGATCAAACATTTAATATTTTTGCTGAATTAAATCCATAGGTAGCATCCTCATTAACCCTACCTTTCTATAGGAGAGAGCTGTCAAACACAGCCTCGTAGAGAGAACCTGGGGTGACTTAACGAAGGGCTGCATAGAGCACAAGAGAATTAATTACCTCTGGATTCCTTCCAACTTAGAAGCTGACACTGAGTTTGTACACTCTCCATTTTTTTTTTATCAATTTCAACACATATTTTTCAGTGATATGTCAGTTGTTGTTTTTCCCATTATTTCCTTTCTCTTTTTTTTTCTCCTTCAGTATCTAATCTTTTTTGTTAAGTACTGAACTCTGAGAGTAAAATTAAAAAAAAAAAAGACTTAACTCTCGATTTAAAAAATGAAACAAAGAAACAGTAGGTCCAGATTAGTAAATTCTCTTTATGCTACTTTCTAATTAAAATTATCTTTTAATAGTTTGTAAAATATGTGTATTAACTGAGAACTGTTGGGGTTGCAACTAGCTTAAAAAGATGTACAAAAATCTGGACTCTGGCAATAAAAACAGAGCAGCTGTATGAAAAAAACTCGACCTTTGCCCTCACTGTTTCACATGGTGTGGAGAAGGGGTAAGAAATCTATATTTGACACAGAGTTAGGAAGTCTTGACAGTAACAGTACAGTCATGGAGCACAGCCTCTTGGAGTTCACGGCATCAGATCCTAGCTGTAACACTCATATACTTACGACATACCAACTAGTTAATTCTCTATACCTGTTTCCTCATCTATGACAGAGGAAAAACAGCACCTACCATACAGAACTCCTAATGGGAATTTTTGCTTGAAATATGATCTCCCTATGCAGTCCAGGCTAGCCTTGAATATATGATCTACCTCAACCTCAAGAATGATGGGATTACATGTCTATACCACCATACTCAGAAATTAAACTTTTAAAAAGTAAGAAGTAAGCTTAGTGATAGGAAGAGGGAACAAGGACCCAATAAAGAAAGAAATGGGTACTATTAACATAACATTAACTATTAACAAAGGTAATGCAGTATTGCCAATCAACAGTGACCTTACTGTTTAAACAGATTGTGTTAACACAGATTTTAAAAAATGCAATAAATTCATACTTTGCATTTCATTCACTGAAATACCATGAATTAAAATAATCAACATCTATACTTTGTAATAACCATTATGTATCTGAAAGTCTAATGTCCGTAAAAATGCCTCAGAGAAAGCAAAATACTCTGCAGTTCACATGTACGGTATGTACTCAGAATATCTGATCATCAAGATGTCTAGTTTCTATCACATAAGATAGCCCATCTTATTAGCAATAAGGCACTTTGTTAGCAGACAGACCAAATAGAATAGAACAGGGAATCTAGAAACAAACCCATCAGCTATGGTCACCTGATATTGACAATAAAGCCAAAAGCCTACACTGGAACAAAGGTAGTCTCTTATAAATAGTGCTGGCGAAACTGAATATCCCCCACATCCCTTTACAAAAACAGAGAAACCCTGTCTCAAGAAAAAAAAGATGCAAATCACTTTAAGGTGCAGGAATAGGCAAGGATTTTCTGATGGGTAAGACTGCACAATAAAACACTTAACAGAGAAGAGTCTAAAAAATGAGACAAAAATTTTACCAGCTATACATCCAACAGGGGATTAGTGCAGAAAAACAAGCACAAAGAAACAATAATGCTAATATAATCAATAAATAGCCAAGTGAACTGAACAAATAGTAGTTCCCAAAAGTACAAACAACCAAAAAATATTACAAAAGGTTCAACATCCTTAGCTACCAAGGAAACACAAAATTTCACGGAGAGTCTATTTCACCCTAGTCAGAATGGCTGTGAGCAAGAAAACAAACACCTGATGCCAGGGAGCATGTATAAACGGAGGAATCCATATCCACAGCTAATGGGAATGGAAATTTGTATTTGGTCACTATGGAGATCTGTATGACGATTCCCAACAGACTGAAAACAGAACTACAATCTGACCACGCTATACCACCTTGGATATAAATGTACAGAGGAGTCTAGGTCAGCATGTCACAAACAACCTGCACATTTGTTTATTTCAGCACTAGTTCACCTTTAAAATCACATTTATGACATGTACATATGTAGGTATGTAAATGTAAGTGTGCCACAGTTCATACGGAGAGGTCAGAAACCCACTGCTGAGAACCAACTCTCTCCTCCACCTTGTGAAACACAGGAATTGAACTCAGGTCACCAGGTTCAGCTCGGCAGTCAGCACCTTTACCCACTGAGCCACCTCACTGGCTCTATCTCAACTCTATTCACAGTAGCCAAACTGAGGAATCAGACCAAATGTCCATCAAGACACAACAGATAAAGATGTGATGCACATATACAATGCAGTTTTGTTCATTCATAAAGAGCAGGGAATGATGATGGGGGAATGTCCTTCTGTATATATGGTTCTCTTATTGGCTGATGAATAAAACATGGATTAGCCAATAGCCAGGCAGGAAGGTAGGCGGGGCTGCCAGAGGAGGAGAATTCCTGGGAGAGAACTGGATGAAACTAGGGATTATCATGTAAAGCAAAACAAGTCAGACCCAGAAAACAACTGCATGCTTTCTCTTGGGCAGGATCTAGACATGACAATGGGAGGGGACTATCTGAGAAGAGAAAGGTAGCCAGCAAGGTGGAAAGGCGGGGTAAAACATGGCAGCCAGGCAAAGTACAAGATGGACATGTGTGAGAATGTTATACTTGGTATAATGAATATATAATATTTTTAAAAAGAAAACCTTGCTCAATACACGTGTCAACCAAAAACTGTATGAAGCTTACCTGTCTTCATCTTTGTCGTAGAGTTGGTAATAATCTCCACAGCCATTCCAAAAGGAATTATCCCGAGCATCTTGCCTTCCTGAAGCTACAGCTCCATTTTCTGATGTTGCACGGTTATTTTCGGTTTCCCTCTGTGCAACTCTTGAGTAAGGTGGAGTCAAGAACATGCACTCATGATCTCCATCATAGTCGTCACACTTTATGATAGGGTCATCGGAACTACATTCCTCAACTTCTAAAGCCTCTCTCCACCTCTGAACACTTCTTTGTTTGGCCTCATGCCTATTAAAACCGATTTCCTGGTCCACCTGGCTTGATCTTACCACTTTTCTAACTTTGGGCCTTACTACCTGCTCAGGAGAGCTTCCATGGTGGTTGGCTCTATCGCTAGTATTTTGTTCACTACAAATATGCCCTGGAACACAGTCTGCATCTTCAGCTGATCTTTCTGCCTGTCTCTCCTGACCAGTATGGTCTTGTTGCCTCTCTCTAACAGTGCCATCTTCAGAAGCCCTCTGAAATCCCTGTCCACTCTGATGGACAAGCTCAGCATCCACAGCAGAAGTTTTCTCTAAAGGTGCTGAATCTAGTTCTTCAAACTGCTCACTCATTTCACAGTTGAGCGAGGGAACAGATGGTGAAAGGTCAGCGTACATCTCCACCTCTCCATTTTCCAGCTCAAACACTGCACTGCCTAACACTTCCTGACACCTACCGCCTTCCACAGCTCCTGCAGAGAGTCGAAGAGAGCCGTTATTCTCTCCATGTCTGCTGCCTGGGTCATCAGAGCCAGTATGAACCAACACAATTCCATTTTGGACACTTGAGACATTACAAACTGCTGGAGTATACTCTGTCTCAGCGTGATGCTGAAGATGTGCACTGCTTTCTAAGACCTCCCTGGCCGCCTCACTATGACACACTGTGGCAATGGATGGACCGCTCTCAGGGGTTTGAGTCAGCGCTGGACCACAAGTGGGAATCTCTGTTTCACTTTTGTCAAATGTTGGTTCATTGGCTAAAGAAGAATGGACTTGATCCAATGAACTGGAACCTTCATAAAAAGAACAGAAGACAACAATTTGGACGATTTATTTAGATGAAATGTTATATATCTTATCAGTTCCATGGAAATCATTATCTATTTGACACTATGCCGAATGCTTCTTCCACAGTCCCGACTTTTCTACAGTCAGACTGGTTACACTGCCAACTCAGCTCTACCCCTGGACAGCCTCTCATCACCTTCCCTTGTGCTTCTTTTACAGATTTTGTTTTTAAAACTTAAGTCCCAATACTGAACATCTTCTCTATGACAAAAATGAAGCTAACAGGAAGCTACATAATGAGACACAAAGCAGTCAGAAAAATCTACCTCCAACTACTCTACAAAGCTACCTTTTAATTACAAAGTTTAAAAAATTTTCAATAAACAATCTATGACTGATATAATGTTATTCCCAGGTAATAGATTTTAAAATGAGATTTTAATTGTAATTTGGTATTAATTAAAAAATTACAACTAAGTTTCTAGACATGCATCAGACTTCTATGACTAAAATGTACTGTTAATACATTTATAATTTAGGTATTAGAGATACAAGTGAAAAATAAGTGAGTATACTGATTCAATTTGCCATACTTTGTCAGAATTCTGACACTTGAAGAAAATCAAATCTATAATTATTTTAAACTATCTTATATTATTAATTTCACAAAAATATTGAGATCTGTTGTAATCAAGTGCGTAAACCATAAAATAACTGAAATTTAATCTTAGAAAAGACTTGTCTTGGAATGACTTAGCTAGCAATTTACATTCTGATATACAAATTTCAATGAAAATATTCTAAAATTATCCAGTTTGTTTAGAACCAGAAAACTAAAACTAGGTTATATACATACATAACTACTACTTTATATATATAATACATAACTATGTAACTATGGTACAGGAATTTGTATATAACATTTCAAACCACTGGATAATTAAGAAGGTTTAATTGAATAACTATTACCAGATATCTTGGTGTTCATGTTTTACAAAACAATGAAAAAAAATAAATAAGCTAAGCTAAATTATTTAGAGGAAATTAAAAGATACTTAAATATAATATGCAGGGAAAAACACTCTGCGTTCCCATTACAGACTTGGCATCGTCTATCTTCCTAAGGAAAGCACTGAGAACAAAACCCTGAGCTCCCCTAGGTCTTGGGAGTGAGTCAGCAAGGCTTGCCAGTGGAAAGTAATGCACACTGACGTCTGCTGTAAAGGTAAAGACAGATGAGACTGACAAATGGAGACAGACTTGGGAGAGGACTTAGCTCATGGATGTGGCTGTGTGATCACTGCCATAACACTCAGTAACATCTTAGTGGACGGCCATATTGAATCTTCTATATTTAATGAATATGGTACTGCTAGCAAATTCAATACAAACGTCCAAACGTAGAGAAAAATTCACATTTACACTCAAAGAATTCACATTTACACTCAAAAGTACGCATTTTCAAAAGGCAGCCTTTGAGCGAGCGACTGCATGTTACGTACCTGAGATGCTCTCCTTTGGAACATCATCTAGTTCCAACACTTCGTAGTCATCACCAGCCCGACCTAAACTTCTCTCATGCCTGGTCATGCATGGCTTAAAACTGACATATGCGTGTCTTCTTCCATACCTCCTGCCTGTTATAGTCTGATATCCTCCAGCTGGTTTAGGCCAAGCTGCCTTACTGGATTCTTGATCCATTACTGAAAATATAAATTAAATTAAAGGTCAGCAATGACCTTTACTATGGCAACAAGCTGGGGGGAAAGTGCTTCAACAAATATGCTTATTATTTACTAAACTAACCCACTGAACAGGTGTCTTGTTAAAATGGTGTATGGATGACAACAAGTACATACCTATGCCCTGAAGCCAGGGTCAGATACAATTCTCTAAAAGGAAGTAATCACAGAAGAAATCAAACACATGCTACATCTTCAAAATTACAAATGGATGGCAGACATTAAGTTAAGAAAAGCCACAACATTTAAAAAACCTGAATATTAACTCACCTTTTACTAAATAGTATAGTATTATACACAAATATATTAAACTTGCTTAGTCAATTACTTATTATATAGTCTATGTAAGAGTAGGGTGTTTCCTCACAGTACATAGTATAATCAATAAGTGAAAGTTTTCAGTTTTTGTTTTTGCACTAAAGGAAAACAATCACTTCAAAGTACAAATAACAAACTTCTATTTCTCAAATGCTATCAAATATTATACTATTTTTATTTAATCCTTTCAACAACCTTGAGATGTTAACCACTCAAAAGTCAAAATAAATATTAAGAAGTCAGGTGTGAAAACATGCACCTGTAACTCCATCACTAAGGCAAGGAGACAGTAAACTGAAGGACAGCCTAAACTACACAGTGACATTTTGTTACAGTAATGTAAGAATCATCTACTCCTCCAAAAGAACAGCCTCCAAAATGGAATGGATGATAGAAATGAGGGGGTGTTTTAAATTAAGTTAGAAATAAATCTTTACAAATATTGAATAGCTACAGATGACTCAAAATGAGTCTTTACATAAGATCACCTATCAGAGGATATAACATGTCATATATAATATTCTTTTATGCTTTTGTTTTTTGAAACAAGGTCTATGTAGCCCCGGCTGGCCTTGAGCTCACAGGGATACACCTGTCTGTGCTTCCCAAGTGCTGGGATTAAAAGTGTGAGCACTATATTCAAGAAAAAAAAAAAGAAGTCCTCCATGTAGAAGAATAAGCATGTGTCTTCGTTACCTGCAGGTTCTTTTTCAGTGCACTGTGACATAGATGGCGGCGTCTGTGCTCCCAGGTCAGTACAATTATGGATGTGATTTGGTTTTTACTTACACAGTAAATAAACTGCAAATGATTCCTATAAAGAAACAATGCATTGAACAAAATATTAGTAACAAAAGAATAAAAGATGGCAAAATTTGGTAATAGTAGTAAAGACTGTTGGATTTTCATTTACTTAAAGAAATACAACTTGATCTGGCAAAACCAACAAGAATCAGACAAAAGACACCTCAACCAGTCATATATATATAACTTGTAAGTAAATAATCAAACACATTGTTGAGGAACTGATTGTAAAATGTGACACTGCTGGTAAGTTTCTGGGTAACTAGACACAAACCTACACATATCTGAGAAAAAGAAACTTCAGCTGAGGAATAGTGCAGTGGGTATTTGCCGCCCATGACATTGGGCTATCATGTCCAACAGAGGCAAAGCTTCTTGTCTGCCAGCATGACCCCTTTAAAGGAAAGAGGGGGGCAAGAACATCCAACTACAGAATTCCCTGCAACAGATTTCCTTGATTAATGATTGATGTTGTAGAACACAGCCCACTGTAGGCTACACCATCTTTGGGAAGGTGGTCCTGGATTACAAACTGAACAAGCTGTGGGAAGCCAGCCAGGAAGCAGCATTCCTTCATGGTCTCCAATTTAGTTCCTGCCTGGAGTTCCTGCTTTGTTTTTCCCTCAATAATGGACTAACCTATAAGTCAAATAAACCCTTTCTTCCCCAGCATTGCTTTTGGTCACTGCTTTATCACAGCAACAGTGAGAAAATAAAACAATGACCTAATTATGCTGGTGTCTACACCATGCTATCTTGGCCTTTCCAGAAATTCATTGAGCTCTTATTAGCAAAATTCTTGTTAAGCCTAAAAATGCAATATTTACCTTAACAATGCCTAATGAAAAATTGAAATAAAGTATACAAGTAACAATGTCCTTATCAGTTATAATCAGATATTCTAACCCAGAACCTAGTCTAAACCAGTGAAGACTAACACATAGCATTCATTAACAACAACAAAAAGCCAACTTCCCATGTTTGAAATTAATACACTTACTATTATAGAAGTTGAATTTTTTAAGTTTAGCAGCTTATTTTTCGTACTTAAACACTTTAATATTTGAGCACACAAACTACCACTAATTTTCTACCAGTAACACAAACTTATTAGATAAGCACTCCACAAATGGGTTGTTATGCTGACTGTTGTTACTTAGAGAGTGTTAGTATTCAGCCATCTGCACGGACCTGTCCTTGGGGTTCTGACAGAATCCGCTCAGCTGCAGCCACAAGAACACCGCCTGTGTACAGTCACGATGCTCCCCTCCCTTTTAAAAGGGCCCCGCCCACCTTCACCCCACTTCTCTCTTTCCTTCTGTTTGTGCCCCCACTTCCTCTCTCCTGCTGCTCTTGTCCCTGGAGGCCTGTCTACCCCCTCCCCTTTCCCCTCTGCTGAACCCTGTCCCCTGGTGTCTTTCTCTCATGCAGTTTTTCTTTCTTTTTTTTTTTTTAATTACAACAGAGAGCAGATATCTACATTCATTTATAAAATTAACAAATTTGAGGAACATGCTGTCTTCTAATGTATCTGGATCAAATCAAAGGAATGTATAAAAATCTTAATTTTACTATGCTGTCAAAGAAAAAAAAAAACACACAGGTTCTCATTAACATTGCTTTTTAACAAAGTCTGAAATAACCAAACTTCACAGATCACTGTGTTGTGCATGGCAGTCTTTAAGAATTATCACAGTTTTAAGTTTACATCACAAATACTTTATCCAGTCTTGTTAGGTCAGGCTATATTCTCACATGTTCCATGCACTATTTTCAGAGCTGAGAATATAACAATGTGTAAAATGAATGGATATATCTGTTGACCTAAAACTATAGTATGGAATAAATGTAAAATAAGGAATAAATATATGCCATAGACCTTGATCCTAGATTAAAAAGAGAGCAAAGTTATTAATGGGAGCAGTGTTACTAATAGGGCTCATTGAAGCAAACATGTGAAAGAGGAGGAGCACAGGGAAAGAACATTCTAGGCTTACTGAAGAAAAGATTGTAATGAGAAGCCCCAAGAATCAAGTACTAGTCTATAATGTGCAAAAAGTAATAGTTAGGAAAGGAGGAAAGCAGGGAGGGGTGAGCCAGATTTATAACATCCCCCTTTACAGATGGAAAGACAGGGAATAGTCCTGAAGAACAGTGAACAGTTTTATATAGCTGTTTTAATGGGCTACTTCATCAAATAGCCTAAATAGGCTATTGTTATTTGTTTATCTGCCTCTATGGAAACATGTTTCTGTGGCATGCAGCTTACTCTCCAAGTGCTGCTCATCCTCGTGGTTGCACACTTTACTCATGGACTGCTCCCAGCACTCAAGAGTATAAATAGTCTGCTGCTCTGAATAAAGCTGGTTATATGGGGAGACTGTAGTCCACTCCATTTACTGGTTCATTCTCCCAGGCCCCACTGCCAACCAGTGAACAAGCAGCACCTCAGCCAGGGCCCTGAGGTCAGACATGAGATAAGAGTGGGGACCCTCTCGAACCCGGGGCCTTCCCAGAGGGAGGTGAGTGAGAACCATGGAGCAGAAACCAGGGAGAGAAGGCCCTGTCTTACATTGAACTTGTGCATTTTTTTTTCTTAGAGAAAAACAAGTATCAAAATCACAAGTATCAGATTGCTTGCAAATTGTTTATGATTATAATTCCTAGTTTCAAGAAGAAGGAACTTTTGATGAAGTATGGGACAGAGTCCAAAAGAATATTGAATATGCATATAAACAAGGGGGAAATAGTCCTGTTCAATTTTGGGTCACCTGGGCATTAATTCTGATTTTTTATCACAATACTTAAGGAAGTAAGGATATTAATCATGAGGAAGAGATAACTAATTCCTGGAACAAACATAAACTGGATGATCAAACCTTAAAATTAGTAAAAAGAGGCAAAGAAGGCAATGCCCCAGTGGAAGCAAAAAACTATCATCAGTACCTATGCCAGTTCCATCTCCCTCAGCTCCGTTTCTGGAGCCCCCTTTGTTCCATTGCTTGAAGATGATCCTGAAGCATGGAGTGAGGCCCTAAGCACCAAGGGAGAAATGATGCTATGAAACACACAGAGCCTTGTCACCTGAGTCTCTTTCTGGTGTTGCTAGTTGCTTTGACCTGTGCATCTGTGGTGAGTGCCTTGGGGCACTTGCACCGGTCTTATGTTCCTCATCCTCTGCTCCAACATGTAGACTGGAGGGACCCAGCTCCTGTGTCTGTTACAGTATCTAAGAGACTGTGATGACTATTCTTGTTTGTCAACTTGACTACATCAGGAATAAACTAAAACACAAGTGGTTGGATACAACTGTGAGGGATTTTTTCCCCCTTAAGTCATTGAAGCAGTGAGACCCATTTCTAGTATGGATCTGTTGAGATAGGAAGGTCCACCTGAGAATCTGGATCATGCCTTCTGCTAGTAGCCTGTAATGGCTATGGGAAAGGAAGCCTGCTCTTTGCCTGCTCATCCTTGTCTCTGACAAGCCCATTCCTCCTCCACTGGCATTAGTCTACTTCTTTAGGATTCTGGTGTACACTGAGACATCCAGCCTTTGTGGAACTGAACAACTACAGGATTCTTGGACCTTCTGTTGGTAGGTATCTATTAATGGACTAGCTGGACCACAGCCTGTAAGCCATTAATCGTAAATATATGATTTTCTAAGTTCTGCTCCTCTGGAGAACCCTGAACAATAAAAATAATATGTATAATACTTAGACAGTAACTGCAGAAATGGAAATATGATAACAGAAAGAAGGCTAGGAGCTGGGGAATACAATGGGCCAAACTGTGGTGCTTAAACAAATATCTGCTCTCAATAGCAGACCTCCCTTCCCCCGCCCCTTTAGTGACTCTAAGGAAGTTACTGTACATTTCTCCCTGTGCTCTCTCAGATCACTCTGGGAGAAGCAGGTGCTCCATTAGGAGATGACTCAACTAGCCCAGTGCAAAGAGCCACATGGTGAAATACTGATCAGCCTTTCTCCTGCCAAGAGTCACTGAGGTCTTCTTTCACATGGAAACAGATTCTAGTCAAGCCATCATATGACTGCTCTCTATGACTGTAACTTCAGGAGAGGCCTTGAAGAAAAAAACACATAGACAGACCGCTCTTCAATTTCTGGCCTACAGAAATTGTGAGACAATAAATATCTAAGCTGCTAAGTTTAATGAAGATTAACACATTACAAGTTATCCTTCGATAGATAACATATGTAAGTAATATAAAGTGTTTAAATACTGAATGTTCTTATACTTTCAATTATTAGAAAAGTGAAACTGTATTTTTATTTTGAATGAGAAGAGACTGAGGAAGGGAGGATCAATATTAAATATACTGGTCTTTTGCTTCTTGGCAATTTCAGAACTGATGCTTGCTACCCACATGCCACTATCACCTAAGAGGTACACATTAGTCTTTTAACAAAGCAACAGCGCCTTTTTAGAATTAATTTACATGTTGTTTTAGCAGAGAAAGGGTGAAATCAGCTGGGCTGATACATGTTTTAACTGACAGCTTGGGTTCATGCACTTATGAAAATAACTTAGTATTTCCTCTGGGGGAAAAAAAAAGTTCTATTTGACAAACATATATAATTTCATTCTTATTTAAAGTCAGTCTTTCCCTATTCTTCCAATTCTATTGCAAGATTTATTTTACATTTGCCAACATTTTACCATTATACATCTGCTTTAAAAGTACCCTAAGATGCATTTAAATTTTTCTGTTTGATTACCTAATCTGCATTACTTATATAAAAAGTAATTCCTCAGGAACACAGAATTTTGAAACTTTTATACCACTGGTCACATCAGAGCTACAAATTAAGAATAAGACTGGCAAAAGAGTTTAAAACAAATATTTCTAACTTTTGTTTCACAAATCTTAGAATCAACTATACTGTAATTTAGTTTATAGCCTTATCTTCCTATTTTCAGCTGCTAAGGCAAAGCACATATTTCAAGAGATTAATATGTGAAAAATTCTGAGTAACATCAAAGCTTTCA